CCCAGGTTCAATCCCCGGTATCTCCAGTTAAAAGAACCAGGCAGTAGGTGATGGGAAAGACCTTTCTCTGCCTGAGACCATGGAGAGCTGCTGCCAGTCTGAGTAGACAATACTGACTTTGATGGACTGATGGTCTGATTCAGTAGAAGGCAGCTTCATTTAGGGAGCATCCATGGCGTAGGGGTAGAGCATCTGCTCTGCGTGCAGGTCCCAGGTTCAATCCCAGGCATCCCCAGTAAAAAGGGGCGGTAGTAGGTGATGGGAAAAGACCTCCGCCTGAGACCCTGGAGAGCTGTAAAGAAGGGGCGTGGCTCAGTGGAAGAGCATCTGCTTGGCATGCAGAAGGTCCCAGGTTCAATCCCAGGCATCCCCAGTAAAAAGGGGCGGTAGTAGGTGATGGGAAAAGACCTCCGCCTCAGACCCTGGAGAGCTGTAAAGAGGGGCTGTGGCTCAGTGGAAGAGCATCTGCTTGGCATGCAGAAGGCCCCAGGTTCAATCCTCAGCATCTCTAGTTAAAAGGACCAGGCAGTAGGTGATGGGAAAGGCCTAGAACTGTAAAGAGGGGCCGTGGCTCAGTGGAAGAGGCTCTGCTTGGCATGCAGAAGGTCCCAGGTTCAATCCCCGGCATCTCCAGTTGAAAGGACCAGGCAGTAGGTGATGGGAAAGGCCTAGAACTGTAAAGAGGGGCCGTGGCTCAGTGGCAGAGCATCTGCTTGGCATGCAGAAGGTCCCAGGTTCAATCCCCAGCATCTCCAGTTAAAAGGACCAGGCAGTAGGTGATGGGAAAGACCTCCGCCTGAGACCCCGGAGAGCTGTCAAGAGGGACCATGGCTCGGTGGAGGAGCATCTGTTTGGCATGCAGAAGGTCCCAGGTTCGATCCCCGGCATCTCCAGTTAAAAGGGCAAGTAGTACTCGATGGGAAAGACCTCTGCCTGAGACCCTGGAGAGCCGCTGCCAATCTGAGCAGGCAATACTGGCCTTGATGGATCAAGAGTTTGGTTAGTAGAAGGTAGTTTCATGTGGATTCAGATCAGGGAGGTGGGCACCCTCCCAGGCGTGGGAGGCCACTGGCAAGAAGGTGCCACCTGGCAGACCTCATTCTGGGTGGAGCATCACCCCGGGGCAGAGAATGGGGGCCAAAGGGGCTCTGCTGCCCACCCAGCCCAACGTGGCGAGTGAGTGAGAAGCAGCAGTGGCCACGGGCTCCCACGCTGGTTGGCTCCCTCTGAAGGGCCAGGGCCGCCAACCTCCAGGTGCTGGCTGGAGATCTCCAGCTACTCCAGCCGACAGAGATCAGATCCCCTGGAGAAAACAGCCACTTTGGAAGGCGGACTCTATGGCATCGGACCCTGCTGAGGCCCCTCCCCAAACCCCGCCCTCCCTAAAGCTCCACCCCCTCCAAATCTCCTGGAGCCGGCCACCCTATGAATGGCTCCAGCGCCTAGCAGCCACCTCTGCTGCTCAAGCGGGTAAGCAGACCACAGCCAGTGCCCCGTACTGCCTGACAAGGAGTAGGGTTGCCAACTCCAGACCAGCAAATCCCTGGAGATTTGGGGATGGCGCCTGGGGTGGGTGGGGTTTGGGGAAGGGAAGGACCCCAGCAGGCTATAAGAAGAGAAGAAGAGATTGGATTTATACCCCATGGCCCTTCACTACCCAAAGGTGTCTCAGAGCGGCTGACAAACTCCTTTCCCTCCCCCTCCCTGGGAGGCAGGTGGGGCTGAGAGAGCTCTTGACAGAAACAGCTCTTTTTCAAGAACAGCTCTTATCAGAACTGTGGCTTACCCAAGGTCGTCCAGCCAGGTGCAAGTGGAGGAGTGGGGAATCAAACCCGGGTCTCCCAGATTAGAGTCCGCGCACTTCACCACGACACCAAACTGGCCATACAGGACATGCTCCAAAGCAGCTGCTTTGGAGAACTGATCTCTGTCATCTGGAGAACAGCGGTCATTCCGGGAGATCTCCAGGGTCTCCCTGGAGGTTGGCCACCCTAGCAATGGAGAGGGGAGCAAAAGGCAGGGCAGTGGCCTTCCCTGGTAGCAGCGACGGACGTGCACACTGGAGGCATGTGGGCGTGGCCAGGCCTGAGCCTCCCCGGTTCGGGTCCCTAAACAGGCCGGTGTTCTGCCGCATGTCCGGCATTTCTGCCTTCTGGCTGGTTGCCCGGTGAGGTCGCTTCTTGATAGTGCAGGAGGGAGCCTCTTTTTAACTGTTTAGGGCCTCTTTAAGGGAAAAGGAATCTTCAACACTAGGTCTTCATGTTCGTTTTTGTAAATTTTCAGCCCGGGCTTTTTTGTGCCTCAGAAGCAGCTACTGTAAACAGCGTGGCTTTCTTGGGTGGCTCGATCTTTCATTAGCCAGAGAGAAGAAGGAAAGGGAAGAGACAGTGGGGGCGTATGAGACCAATAATAATAATAATAATAATAATAATAATAATAATAATAAGAAGAAGAAGAAGAAGAAGAAGAAGAAGAGGGAGGAGGAGGAGAGGATGATGATATTGGATTTATACCCCGCCCTTCACTTGGAGTCCCAGAGCGGCCTACAAACTCCTCCCCCCCCCACAACAGACACCCTGTGAGGCAGGTGGGGCTGAGAGAGCTCTTTCGAGAACTGCCCTTGAGAGAACAGCTCTGAGAGAACTTGTGACTGACCCAAGGTCACCCAGCAGCTGCATGTGGAGGAGTGGGGAAATTGAACCTGGTTCTCCCAGATTAGAGTCCGTGCTCCTAACCAATTAGTATGGCTGTACCTCTTGAGCCCTCCGTTCTGTCCCTGGGCCCATGGGCTCCGCATCTGGACCCTACTGAGCTCCACTCCATCTAGGGTTTGCAAGTCTGTCCTGGGAAATTCCTGGATATTTGGGGGTGGGGACTGGGGAGGGAGGAATTTGCAGAGGGTGGGGGTACCGCGCTGTTTCCCCTCTGAAGCTGCCCTTATCTTCCTGGGAACTGATCTCTGTAGTCTAGAGATGAATTGTAGTTCTGGGAGATCTCCAGTCCTCACCTGGAGGCTGGCAACCCCATTTCCAACTGTAACGAAGTGTGTCAGAAGGCAACCCCCCCCGCTCAGGTTCCACTGGACTGTTTTGGATCACTAGCTATTTTTTTTGGGGGGGGGGACTTGCAGATCTGTCCTTGCAGAGGAGGGAGAGCTTGTACCTGAAGGTGGGCCGGGAGCAGGGGGCGGGGCTTGTTGCATGTGCCCGCCCCCTGGGCTCCTTATTGCCGGAGCTCTGCTCCTGTGCGCTCCCGCAGGAAATGACCCCTGCCCTCCCCACAACAGGCACCCTGTGAGGCATGGGGGGCTGAGAGAGCTCTTTCGAGGACTGCTCCTGAGAAAACAGCTCTTGTGACTGACCCAAGGTCACACCAGCAGCTGCATGTGGAGGAGTGGGGGAATCAAACCCGGTTCTCCCAGATTAGAGTCCACACTCCACTACACCAAACCGGCTCTCAGACACCTACTGTCTCAACAACAAAGCCACAGCCGATTGGGAGAACTCTGGTTATGAACCGGAACTCAGCGGCTGAGCAAAAAACTTTGGGGGGGGGGGTGAGGTCTGTTCTCCATCACCTGGAGGGGCCAGGGAAGTCCCGTCTCTGCCCCAGAACCCCAGAAAGCCCCTGCCGGAGAGACCCGAGATAGGAGAATCTGACGCAACGTAAGGCAACTTTTGTCCATTCCTTTCAAGTGGCAGATACTGGTGGGGAGACCGAGAGAACCGTTTCGTGGATGGAGGCGGATTCACGAGCAATGACTCAGCGGCTCCGACCTCCTCCTTCGAAGTCCCCTGGGCCGCCGTTGCACTGCTCTGGTCTCACTGGCCAGCGGGCGTTTCAGATAAAAGTGCTGGACGATGCCTCGAAAGGACAGGTTGGGAGCAATGCTCCCTCTAAGCTATGGAGTCTTGTGAGTCAAAATTCTACTTTGTGAGCCACTAGTATTAAAGTTGTGAGCAAGTGATTTGGCTACTGCATAAATTATATCGCTCTGGAACCATCTTTCCTGAGCCAGGACAAAAAATGTGTGAGCCAGAGGCTAAAAAACTGTGAGCTAGCTCACACTAACTCAGCTTAGAGGGAACACTAGTTGGGAG